AAGAGTGTCCTCTGTGACCCAAGAACCCTTAGCCTTTACCACTCTCTGTTCAGCTGCAATTTTGCCACCCTAGCTATTCTGTAATATGTGCAACAAAAGCCAACGAAAAAAGCCTACACTTTGTGAGATAAGTGCGACCTTGTGTGTTATGAACCCGGCTTGTTTCACAGCCTTTAAAAATACACCAGTAATTGCAAGTTCACCAAGTGAACATGTTTCATCTCTAGATTACTTAATCCACAAGTTTGACGATAGGTCTCATTTGATTTTTTTAGAGTTTAACAACATCACTTGAAAGTTGCAAGAGTAACGGGTGGCAATATTATTTTAGATGCTTAAAATTGTATATTACTGTTACGAAATAAAAAAAAAACACAAATAATGTCGCAAGTTCATACACAAAATGTGATTTTGATGGGTTCTGCAAACAAAAATGTCATGTTTTATAGGGGGGTGGGTGACATGTATTTTTCAACCTTCATTAAGGGGTGGGTCACTCAGTTTCGCACCAAACGGAAGGGGTGAGTCATGTCTTTTCTATCCACCACATTTTCAAATGCTCTGGCCCACCCCACCTTATAACCAGTCCATTAGATGAAAATGAATGTTTCAAGTAGCATAAAAATCAAGAAAGCAACTTCGGAAAATTTCACAGTTACATGTATTCACTCTGATTTTTTAAAACCTCTTTTTTCTCAATGACAAGGATTCAAATAACAGCCGGTCAACAGACAATGTCCAGTCAAAAATAGGTTTTGCCTGGTCTAATCCTTAGATGGCCAGACAATTTGTTCGGTCATTAATTATTTTATGCTGGTAAGGGAAAAATTTAGAGTTTCAAGTTTGGAATATTTAAAGGTTTAATATTATTGGCGTTTGTGAAACAGGAGGGGAAAAAGGCAGATACTTAACTACAAGACCAAAACTTTTAATAATGATTCGTAATAGTCATAAAATTCCCAGCTATTGTTGCAAATTTTCGCATTGTCATTCACCAAGTCATCACTGCAAATTAGTGGGTGTGAATTACGTTATGGTCTGTGTGGGTTTTGTAAACATGACGCGAGTCAGAAGGATAACAAAACCTCTCGCTGTCGGTACAAGGGTGTGAAAATAACAATAACAAGAAAGCAAGTTTACATTCATTTGTTTACTTTTTGAAATTTCCGTGTGAATCACTTAAGCTATAAATACTGCGATTACCTAAAAATTCTACTGTATATTCCAGGCTCTTCCTGTATTGAGGTCGATGCTCTTGTACAGTAAATGCTTTCAAAATTTACTTGTTTCATATTTAAACATCATGTGAAGGGGGGCGGGGGGCGCACTTTTATAGCGATAAGATGTAATCAATGTTTGTCTCGCCAAAAATGGGATATGTCCAAGCAAAAATAAGTTTGACTGGACTATTTCACCGGCGCCAGCCGGGAAATTATTTGAAGCCTTGCAATGAGAAAGAAAAGGCAAGCTTTGTTTTTCGTTGAGCAAAACTTGTCTGCAGTACTTTTGCACAGTACTCTATGTTCACATACAACATATATATTTTTTCTCTCCATCTTTTTGTTATTTTTTATTTCTTCTTTACACTGGCCCTAAAAATTCCTATTGGAGAGTTGTCAAGTTAAACACATTACCCACACTCAAGCTTTGGGAACAGAAAATAAGAAAGTGTAACTTCCTTAAGGAAGGTGTCTTGTTATATTACGAGGAGTGAGAGATATTTGTTTTACATTCATATGTAGGAATAAACTCTGTTGAATGTGTACCTTTATTTCTTCCAGCTTTTGCTGTTCTTTTCTTTGCTTCTCATTGAAATCTTGTGAAGAGCCATTATTTTCAGCCTGGTAACGTAATGTAAGCATCAAAATAAGTTGTTTACCCATTCCACTACCAAGCAAAAGAATCTCAATATGTTCTGAAAGTTTGGTTGTCACTAGCTAAGAAGTATAATTTGCAAACATGATTGGCTAATTTGTAGCATAGATTGCAATTTCCCAACACACTTTCCAACATCACATGGTACAGAACCTGACTATAAACAATGTGAAATGTCCGCACCTTTGGGAGACTGGAGATCTCCTTAGCAATTCGATTTCTGTCTTTAATTCGTCACAGCTTAGGGAAGGGAAAAAATAATATCATTATGATTTGTTTTTTGTTGCCAAAAGTTCCTAAGAGTTTTTAAACAGCCCAGAGGCTGATACACTTGTAGTGAATGGTGTCTTTAAATATATGAGGGCAGACGCTTGTTTATAATTAATTGTTACATGTACATGTTACGTAATGTACTAGCACTGTACTGTTTTGAGCTAATTCCCAAGATGATCAGGCCTCTGACACAAGCAAACCGACAAAGTACACCAGCATTGTCTTGTTCTAACATCTGCACTGCTTGACACCAGACAGAACAACAATTTTTCTTCATGTTCACTGTGTGCATGGTGAACAAAATGGCATGTAATATAACCTGGAACAGCTGGAATGCCAAGCAGAAACAGATAATGTTCAATATCAAAGCCTGGATCCTAGCATTCACCTTAAATTCCGTAACATTTTGGGATGTGCTACCTGTAGAATGTTCTGGTGTACTCTGGCATACCTTATTACATGAAATTTTCGCGACACGTTAATTTCGTGATTTTGAGGTTCGCATATTTTGCAACACCTTAATTTCACGATTTTGTGAAAATTTTTCATTTTGACTCACTTTAATTGCGTATTTTTGAGTGAGACACTTATTTCTTTGTCAATGTTATTTGACATGTCCCTGAATTTGATCAAACAACTTAACCAACAATGTCCAAATGAACAGAAATGCAACTGATTATGTAAACAGTAACAAGAAAGATGTTCTCACAGTGTCTACAAGGCA